ACACCACCTACAAGAAAAGTAAGTTTCCGTTACTAAAAGCCAGAACAATTTCTCCATTTTAATTGGTGACATTAGCTATCCATCTACCATACGTGATGAAAGGCTACCAAACGAGGAAAAGCTGCTGCGGCAACTTCTGCTTATGGCTCAGGAAATTGTTGTTGCACTTACTCGAAATACAATTTCCAACAGAGAGTGATTAATAAAAGGATTGTGGCATGAAAGGTTATTTCAGAATGGTACAATGAAATTTGGGGTGGAACTGGAATTTCTGAGGGGGATGTTGGACTCTACAGATCTGGAAATGGCCCGCATTAGAGGAAACTTGACCCAAATTCAACTCAATGAGTGGCTATAACCAGGAAACTGGCCTTTTCCCCATGTATTATTTCTTCTTAAGGACTCAATGAGAAGAAGTGATAAGGCAGGAAAGGGACGATGATGAAGGGGTAGGAGTTTAAAATGACTAAATTTCATTGTATAGTGGTATGAAACGAACAGTAACTTTTTAAAAAGATGTTTACTACTAAATAAATGGGAGAAGAGTCTTAAGACACCGCTGATAGACAACTTAAAGTTACACCAGATAATCTGAAAAGTGCAACTGTTAGAATTTTTATATTAAACTGATTACATTGTTATAGAATAGTTCAAAAACTCTGGGACTATACTGTCTTTACCTGAAATAAAACAATGGACCACTAACTTTGCAAAGGTTTTCAGAATGGGTTTCAGGTTCTTCAATCTACCTTTGGACATACCCATGGTAACACTTCATGCAATTTCTTCCAATGGTACAAATTAAAAGCAATTTCCTAAGTTGCTGCTTACATGAAGGAAACATTCAGATAGCCAAAAACTCAGTCCAATATCCCAATTTAGTCCTCTGTGCAGTAAGATGAGATGATACGGACATAAATGAATGATATTTGATACACTGTCTGGAAAAAAAAGTAAAAAAATAAAATAAAAAACAGAAGCACTCTAACTTTACATAAAGGTTTCATGGGTTTGGACCTACTACTTTCTTTGAGACAGGCTGATTTTGTCATGCCATAGGATAGTGCACAGGAAATTAGGTGGACTAAGATGCAAAGAGTCTTCCAGTTTGATCTTAATAGAAAACAGCATGTACACTTCAAATCTGCAATGGATGTTTTGGTTGCTCTGGGTATGTAGGTAGACACTGCTTTCTTGGTGACAGGAAGACTCTTTTTCACTAGCTTCCTGGGAGACACCTTTAGATGTTGCCACATTATTGCTCTCCTGGGCTTCAGAATGTCTTCCAACATTCTGATGACTCAAGACTCTAAGCATACTCAGTGGATCTAGTCCAGGGAAGTCTTAGCTTTCTCTTCCTTGCTAGCCATGATCTGGATGTTTTAGCATTTCAACTGCAACTGGTTTGATAATAATAGAGCACTTGAAGGAAATAAAAATCATTTACTTTTGAGACTGCAAGCAACTACTGCTCTAAGTTCCAAATACAGACCACTCACTTGGGCTATTATTTTAAATCTATTGTTGGTAGAGTGAAGACTGTGCCCTCGATGTGCCTTCCTGCAGGTAGATGTGCTACTAGCTTGAACTTTCTTTGTTACCCAGCAAGTCACAGAGAGATTTTTGTTTAAAGAGCAAGATTCCATAGAAAGTTTCATCTCTACTAATTACCTTGGAGACATGTAAGCTTTACTGCCAAATGGGGGAGCAGTTTATAGTAAGTCATTCTTTCAAAGTTTTTCAAAGCATGTTCAATACTCCCAAGTCATTTGATCTTCAAAGCAACTCTGTTCTATCCCCACTTCATAGGTGAAGAGTGAATTCAGTGAAGAAATAAGACTTGCCTAGAGTTGCAAAGTTAGAAAGAGCCAGTCAGTAGGCTAGCACAGGGCTCCGACATAGTACAAAGCTTTGCTCATTCTTTCTTCCCCCTCTTTTTCTGAAACATGTGACTCTGCTCATCTTCAGAGGAAGTTAAATTTATCTGACCCTGCACATTAGCATTTAATTTTATGCACATCTTCCTCAGTTCCCTCTAGGGTTTCTTGCCAGCATGTAGTGGTTGGTTGCACACAGGCTTCTGAACACATGATCACTGCTTAGTAACTCAGGAGTTTCCAAGACCTAGAATTCCTTCCTTAAATGAGTTCCCCAGATGCCTTCTACACAGGGAATGAATGAAGTGGAAATAGATCTTCATTTTTTCTCTTCTGGTTTAGATTCAGACCGGACCTGTCAGTAACTCCTGGCTGCCTAACATGGTCTACAAATTAGGTTATATGTCCTATTGCACAGATGAAATGCTTAATCCACAATACCTTTGGCTGGACTCAATTCTTCTCTGACACAGCCTCAGAGTTTTGCTTACTTTTTCAGAAAGGGAAATTTCCCAAAAGCTCAAATTGACCGATGCCAGCATTTATAAATCCAATAAATACAGTTCAGATGCTTTGGTGTTCATCTTTTTATCCTGCTCTCATCTGCCAGTTTCAGGAATCACAAGCACCATGGCCTGTCAGGGCACCATGGTTGATGAAGCAGCCGTGGCCCAAAGAAAAAGCCTCTTCTATTCCCAACACAGACAAAAGAGTTTTATGTAGAAGAGTTCAGTGCTTTTACATTTGTCTTGCAAATACTTATCAAATAAATGAGTGAGTACATGTGTGAGTGTTAAAGGAAACATATTAAGTCTGAGTAGTCATTGAGGTATTATTATTATAGATTACTTTTGTTAATCTCTCAGATGTATATAAACTATGAACAGCAAAGGCCCACAGATACATTTCTTCTTGGATTCATCCATAGTATGTCCCTGGCAGCTAGTAGTCTTTGTGTGTTGACCCTGGATAAGAAGGTCTCAAGAGTAGCAAAGGCCCCCGTGGGCTCTAATTGTCAATCAACCCAGGTCCCCACCCAGTTTGTTGTCTAGACCATTGGCCAGAATGTAGCTGTACTTCCAAACATCTATATCCTCCTCTCTGTTCAACAACGAACCTGGCATCTTGTATTATAGTGACATATGTGCTTTTCCCCATTTCCAAAACAAAAAAAGAATTGATTTTTAAAAAAAATTATTTTCCTATTTAATTATATTTATCTCCATATCAAATTGGGATTACATCTTTATCATCCAAGAAGTACAAACTTTATAGGGACCTAAGATTTGCAGTTCTGTGAATTAAGCTTTCTAAGACTTCTCTCTACCCTCTAGTTGTTTGTAAGTTCATTGTGACAGAAATGGTAACTCTGAAATGAAAATCTTGTCAGTAAAAATAGTTCAGGCCCCTTGTGTTGTAGTCTTTACTTTCCTGATGCTATGTTTAAAATTCTAACAAAATGCAACTTAAGGGAGAAGTAAATATGGATTAGGCTTCCAAATGATAAGAATCCAGTATGAGGACTTGACCAGAGAGGGCAGGATGCTGCCCAAGGTCCCAGTGAGGGAGTGTCTAACCTGGGTCAGACTCCAGGCTACGGACCCTGCCTGCCCACCCTTCTATGCTGTTTCCTCACAGACAGCCTTCCTCAGAGCCTCCTTCATCTGCCTTATCCTGGACAATTTTCTCTGGGGGACAAGAGATTCAGAAGAGAAGGGGAGAACTCAAGCTTGACACCCATCTGTGTATCTGTTGGAGGGTTCTGTCCAATGTTTGATTAGCAATAAACCACAGCAGATGCCAAAAAAAAAAGTGTGCTGGGAGTCATGACAGCAGGAGCAGGAGGTGAGAGCTCACACCTTAAACACATGCAGGACGCAGAGAAAGAAAATGAGGCAGGTAAGGCAAAATTATAAACTATCAGAGCTCATCCTCAGTATGTACTTATTCTAGCAAGTCTTTGTCTCCGAGACATTCTACAACCTCCCCAAACAGAACAAACAAAATAGATACTCAAATATGGGAGCCTGTGGGGGCTATTTAAACCTCCATAGGTGTATGTGTTCTTTCTTCCTATGAATAATGGTTTAAGGCCTTTTTGTTTCTCACAAAATAGTGTATCACTTCTCTTCTGCAGGAGCTATTCTATTAACCAGTAGTGCCCCAAAGACATAGTATCTGTATGATAGCTCACTTTATAGACTAGACGAAGGTGCTCCCATAAGAAAGGAGATTCTAATAACACCATCTCAGCGTGCTTAAAAAATCCTGTTCCACATTATCTCAGTACTTAGATTTCTGATCATGTGTTCAGTCTTTTTAAAAGTAGCTCTAACTCTTGTTTTCAGCAATGTTCAAATTATTTTAGCTAATAGCTCATGATTTCTGCCTCTTTGTCTCCAGAGAACTATAGGAAGTGCTATTATTAACTCCACTAAGATAATGGCCGTAATCATTTAAAGAGATTTCTGTAGAGAAATTCTGGCAAAAAATTTCCCTAAATATAAAGTAACTACTAAGAATTGTCTTTGCTTACTTGCATTTAGACATATTAAAATCATTATGGTTAGTGAATTAAAGGTGATTAGTTTGTGACTGACAAAACTTATGGTAAATGGCAAAAACTAATGTCAGAGTCCACTAACATTTTTTCACCAACTACATAAAAATATTCATTTAGTTCCTTTTCTCTTCTAAATATTCCTTCCTTTAGCTCTTTATTTCTTCCGTGTCATTCCAACCAAGTACCCGCATGCATGCACATGCAGGCACCACATACTCACACACAGAGAACACTCTGGTCACAATTAGTACTGCCTGCTAATAGGTAATCAATGAGCTCATTGGGTTTGGAAACTTCCTTTTTCTCTCCAGCTAATTTCTAGGTGTTTAGAATACACAACTTTGTACCCCTGCAGCAAATATCTGAGATAATTAGCTAAAAAAATGTTTATTTGGATGCCTAAATTTGGAGGTTTCAATCCATGACTCATTATGCCTTTTCCTTTTGGGTCTGTGGAGGAGCAGAGCTTACCTTAAGGGTTGTGAACAAAAAGCAACAAATGGGAAGATACCTGGTTTCCAATATCTTCTCCAAGGGTTTACTCTCAGTGACTTACCTCATTAAAGGTTCACCATTCATAACATCATTTTTTTTTAAATAGGAATAGCACACGGATGTTCTCTCAACTCTCAGAAATCTTCATGGTCTCTGAAACCCCATTTAAATTTCAATCGAATCACAGCCTTATCTTCTCCTTGCTTACAAACAACCTATACAGTAAAGCAAGCATACCATGCTGTTAAAAGATCCTGGCCTACTTCTGTAACAAATTTAAGATGTGTGTATGTGTGTGTGCATGTTATATAATATATATTACATAAAATATATGACATATTATGCATATATTCTTTGCCATATTATGCTAACCTACCCTCTGATGCAAAGAATATATTAATTTATAAATGCCAGAAGAGCAGGTCACATGCAGAGAATGAGAAAAGATGGTTGGTAATAAGGGGAAGTTGTGTCTGTGTCTATGTGTGTACATATACACATATTCATGTGTGTATAGGCAAGAGGAGGCTAGAGGTCAACTTAAGGATGCTGTTCATCTCAACTGTCTTTTGTGACAAGAATTTCTCCCTTGTCTGGAATGTGTTAATTAGGGTAGGCTGGTTGGCCAGTGATCCCCAGGAATCCATCTGTCTTTACTTCTCCAGTGCTAGTCTTACAAGAGTATGTCACAATCTCTGGCCTTTTACAGGGGTCCTGTGAAATTGAATTTGAGTTTTCTATTTTTAAAGTAAGCACTGTACTGACTGTACTGACTGTATTGTCTCCGAAGCCCAATATCAGAAACCATTAAAATGGATATTTTTTTCATATTTATGGTGTATCATTTCAAACATCCAATATCCTTATGTTACGTTTAAGCATAAGGAAGTGTTGGGAGTAATACAAATGCTTATAGGTGTAAGTAGAAGAAGGGAGAACTCTTGCAGTCGCCTACAGGAAATTGAACTAGACCAGCCAGTCCTCAAATCTGGATGGAAAGTGATGTTCACTGCAATGACTTGTGAACAGAGAAGCACTTAAAAGAAAATGTTGCTTCTCAAATCCCCTGGCCTTTATCCTCCAATTTAGAGTGACTTGCATGCCAGCATTTATCATCCAGGATCTGTGCTATATCTGCCAGAGCTCTGCTTCTGGAGGTGGGCTGGATCCTGTGAGACTTGAAGATATGCTCACAGAGATCCAACAAAATATAATAAAACGTGTTGCTAAACAACTGCAAAAATATCGATTGTTTTCTTTCCTCTTATACTGATTAGCTTTATATAAATATAATATCCTAAAGCATATGATATTTTACTTTAGGAAACATGAACTGAATTAGTCCCTGCAAACCAATATTTTCCTCCTGTGCCTGATTCTCATGAAGTCCCCAGATGGAATATCTTTGGAATAAACAACATTCTGTTTATTTCCCTAGAAAGGAAACATTAAAAATTTTTCCAACATCCCATAAGATTTTAATGAATACTTGAAGAACAAGGAGTTTTCTCCCTAAGTGAATCAGTAGTCACTGAGTGCATTTCTCCATTTGCCTGTTGGAGTGAGCTACAATTTCACCATGCCCACAGGCTATGGTGGAAAGCAAATAAAAGAATGGGTGAAAAATGAAAAAGTCCTAACAATGAAGATGCTGTACTTTCAGAGATCTGTAAAGCAATTGGAAGGGAGGAGTACATGAACTTCAAGGGCTGAGCTGAGGTTCCCATTACTTGCATCAAAAGAGCAATGGCAGAAACAGCCACCTATCACTGTAACACTTCATGTGAGCTAAGCCTTGGGTTCTGTTTTTATATACTGGTTATTTTTATCTTTACCACAGTCCGTGATTTTCCTCCATTTTAATTTTGATGAAAAGAATACAGAAACATTGGTTATTAGCTGAGAATAAAGTCATCTAAAAATCTCAAACATGAAATTCAGTCAAATAACTCCACAATGTTAACACACACAGCTGTCATGTAAGGTAGGTTCAGGAATACCCTTGAAATTATTTCCTATGCCTTTATATTTGCTGCAAAAACTTTTTTATTATTTCCATGCTCTTTTTAAGAAACTTGCACGAGCTAAATATAGGGTAGGGCTTCATTTATTTATTTATTTTAATTTATATTTGAGACAAGATCTCACCATGTAGCTTTAGCTGGCCTGGAACTTTCCTTGTAGACCAGGCTGGGTCTAACTCATAGAGATCAGCTTGCCTCTGCCTCTATAACACTAGATTAGAAGTGTGAGTTATCATGCTTGGTAAAATTTCATGTAAAGGTCCATTCTATCGTGCTCATTGTAACTGCATGGAATTTCATTGAGTTGCATGAATTTTAGTTCTGGTTAATTTTAATGTGTGATGTTTTTATTTATTTGGAAGGTTTTTTTATTAAAAAGCTTATAAAAATTTAAATGTAGGAATTGTTCATCCTGTATAAAGGCTATATGCTGTTATTAATACTAAGGAGGTCTCTTCTACTAGTGAGTCATATGACTTTTACAAAAAGTGTATCCAGAAGGGCCCATGTGTTTCATACATGTGTGCAGATGTGGTGCTTAAGGGAATCACTTAAGTTTATGTTGCTTCTTATTTCGGTAACCCTGAGAATGCTCTGTCACAGAACCCTGAGAAGTCAAGGAAATTAAACCTGAAAGAGGTGAAGTCACAGTTGGGAGGACTGTGGAGAGTCTTAACTGTGACCCCTTCCTGACTTCACTGTTCTTTCACATTTGCTGGTCACTTGATTCAAGCCCTCAGATCCCAAGTGAGGATTGTTAGAAAAACAGTGTCAGTGGCCACTGCGGTTTACACCTCACAAAGAGGAGGACCATGACTGCATAAATAAAGACTGTAATGTTAGAACTGGGCAGTTTTCTCAGCTTGCAGAGGCCCCTGAGGAAAACTGGTGTGGACCACACAAGACTCCCAAAATTGTAAAACAGTAAACCACGACATGGCGCCCTTTGAAACCACTCACCACAGGGCAATTGACTGACTAACCAAAATACTTCATGTTCAGCCCACTCAGAAAAATCACTCAGAAAAAGCAGAGGCAAACACACAACTAAGCACTGAACTGAACCCAAGGAACCCAGTGACAGAGAGAGAGGAATGATGAGCAAATTGGCAAAGATTGGGCTGGCAAAACCAGCAGAGACAGCTGATCTGAACAGGGGAGTGCTCTTGGACCCCAGACCGACAGTGGGGAGGCCAGAATGGGACTGATCTGGACCCCCCAAATGTGAGTGTCAGTGAGAAGGCCTGGACAACCTATGGGGCTCTGAGCTGTGGATCAGTGTCTATCCCTGGTATACAATCTGTCTTCATGTGCCTATAGCACAAAGAGGGATGCTCTCTCAGCCTGGACTCTTAGGGGAGTGCCTTGACCCTACCCAGAGTAAAATGATAGACTCTAGACATCCCCTATGTGGAAGGATTTGGCAATAGGGTGGGAGGGAGGGTGGAAGGGGAGTGCGGGAGGAGGGGAGGGAGAGGGAACTGGGATTGACATGTAAAACAAGCTATTTAAAATTAAAATAAAATAAAAAAAAGAAAAAAAGAAAAATCATTCAAAAGAAACCTGACTTCCTGCTATGGGGTGGATTCAAGGGCCCCAAAAATACAGCCTATGGGTTGTGTCAACCAGTGTCAAAGTGTTTCCTAATTTAGCTGTGAAGTAGGAAAATACCCAAAGAAGTCCAATAACATGGCTTTTGTAATTAATAGAAATTGACAGAATTAACATACTGTGCTCTCTTTTGTCTTTTTCCTAGTTTTAAATTACAATATGCTTCTTTTTCTGAAATCTTAGTGATAGCTATTCTGTTTTATACCTTGATTGTATGTTTCTGTGTTATTTTACATTTTGCTTTACAAGCCTGCCAAGAGTTCAGAAAACTTTCGGAAACTTTTCTTAGTTATGAAATTGAATACTATGGAAACTATTTTTTTTTAAGAAATGAGAGAGGAAATAAATTTTCCCTATCCTTTGCAACACAAACAAGGAAGTCAATCTTAATCACTCATTGTTGGGCTTGAATAGTTGGACCTACTCTAGGTCTGAATTTTTGGATTTTACTTCTTCACATGTACTCTTCCAACTATGATTTTGTGGGCTTAGGGGAAAAGTCAATTTGTTAACACTAAAAAGAATTTTCAAATACCAAGATTTTGAAACAGTCAGATTCAACCAAGATTTTGAAACAGTCAGATTCAACCTCTAAGTATAAGATAGAGCACTATTATATTTAAACTTTTTCCTATATGAATAATGCCAAATATATGTATATATGTATATATATATAATATAAAACCCAGTTTTGCTGCATTCTAATCCTGTTATAGTTTCAATAGGAAGTCAAAGGATTTTTGTGGATTTCTCCTCAGTCTCACAACTATTTCAATTTGAACAGTAAGAGAATCAGTAATTTCACATAGCAACATAAAATCCTTTGGCATACAGTCAACCTGAATATGAATCCTAATTGTATGGTCTTAGAGATGTATTTGAATTCTTTTCTTTGTTTTAACAGGAAACCAACAGGAATAATTCATGGAATTATGAAAGTACACACTATAACACTTGTGAAGTATTCCATTTAATGCCTGGTATATAGGCAGTTTTCAATAGCTTACTAAACAACTTGATGAAGTTTATGATTCATATAAGTAGCAGAGCTGAGAGCTACAGCCTCTGGTTAACAGTCTGTGGTGCTTGCAATATAAGAAGGCTAAATGGTTCATTGAGCAGTCTCAATTCAGTGAGGCATAAACGTGACATTGGTGTGCTTTTCTATTCATTGCCTTTAAATATTATGTCAAGTCCTTTTTTTTTCACTGCCTTGAAGTTATTCAGGGAAGATATACAGCATTAGACCCACAGACATAAAAATATATGGGCAAATTTAGGGTGGCCTGTTTGAGTTACCAATATATCCCTTTCAACTCTGACCCTGCAGTCTCTCTATGACCATGTCAGCATTCATGAGCCCCACTACATTCAGAGTAGCATGTTGTCCAAGAGTAAAGACATTTACACTGAAGATGGAGAATAATTTAAACAGTTGTACTATATTCCTGTTGCAGCGACACAGATCCTACTTGAGTTCACTGTCATTCTCAGCAAATGCAAAGAAGAGGCCTATGCTAGTTAGCAAGTGCTATATAACCAATTATGACAAATGTGGTGATTGGTATAAAGCATACTTTTATCTGTCCCTGTGGCTCATGGGTGTCAACAGAATATAGACCCACATTCTCGTGAAGTCAAAGCCTCATTCAGAAGGCAGCTAGGTTACAGCACTGCCTAAGACAAAGCTGAAGTTTAGGGGTATCCCTTTATTCACAAAATCCGGAGTCTTGTAGCTGGATGATGGCAGCTTCTGGTCCTTTGTTGTCAGCCTTCACATGGGATTTTACAGCTCACATCTTATCTTTGGGAAGCCAACAAAAGAATGATTCTAGAACCCTGTGTTGAAGATCAAGTGCTGTGAAATTCCACTAACCACAGGGCTTCCACTAATTTTTCTGTAGTTCACTGTTTGCAACTGAATCAAGGAACAGAAAGGAGTCACACTCAATGAATAAACTCAGCAAAGAATAAGACATCAGGATCGGTGCTTATGGCTAATACCTTAGAATCTATTGGTCAAATGATACAGTTCTTTACTAATTATATTATTAATTTCTAATGAATGTTGTGAGCCAAAACAGCAAAGCAGTTTTTCAATATCCTCATTAAAAATTACATATATATATATGCATGCCTTGGGGTGCGGGGACACCAGACCTTGTTCAGAGACCCACTTCCCCATCAGCCTGGGAGTAGGCAGCTGTAAGACAATGTTTACTAAAAACAATACAATGCCCGGGGCAATAAGTTCCTGGAAAAGGCCTGCCCACGGAACCACCCTGACCTCGACCTTGTCCAAAGACTAACCGCCTCTTCTGACACACCCAGATCAGTTTTTGGTGTCAGAGCGGAACGAGCCAGGGGTAGAGACAGAGCAGAAGCTTTTCTGGAGGGAGGCCTTTCTTGGGAAGTTTTCTTGAGCCTTTTTGGGGCCTGCTTAAAGTTTTCTTTACATTGTTGAACAAGCCTCTGTGTTGTCCATCCCCGATATCCTCCGCATGTTCTCTGGCACAGGCTGCGCAGCGGGCGCGGCATTGGGGAATGGGGAACCAAGGAAGAGCAGAGAAACTAGTTTTTGAATAACTAAATTTACAACCTTATTAACACTTAGCCCCCTCCCATGCCTGTTAAAACTTGAACAGGGATGTTTTCCACAAGCTCGTATGTTAAGAGCTTGGTTCCCAGTTTCCATGACTATTTAGTAGCTGGGGCAACTAGACTACCAGAGGTGGATCCTCGGGGAAACGTGGCTCCCCACCCATCTGTCTCCTGCCAACAAAGTGGTGAAGAACTCTCTTCTTCCTCCACATGCTCTGGTTCTGCTAAAAAAATGTTGGGCCAATCAGCTGCGAACTGAATTCTGTTCTCTTGAAGAAGATAAAACCCATCCTGAAAGGCATTTGGAAAACCTGTAAGCCCCTTCACTAGGAGTGATGGCTGGTTCAGCAGGATAAACAATGCTACGTTTGTTTGAGAGGGCCGGTGTAGCACTTCCAATCAATACTGGATACCCACGACTAACTGTGAGCTGCGTTCATAGCATTTTCCAGGGCATACAGTAAGGAATAGAGTCAATTTCAGGTGGAGGTGTTGATTTTTTAACCATATGAATATCATGATGACAAATCAAGAAACAATGTTGGTTACCAGGCATATAAAATGAAATGTAGGAATACTCATTTCTGGAAAAAAATCATCCTCTATGTCAGCAACATCCCCCATTTGGTGTCTATATGTAAATATTTTTTTCATCAGACTTATTACCTACTTTACCTCTTCACACCTCTACATGCCTACTGTGACAAACTTTAGTGAGCTGGTGGCCCCTGCACCATTGCTGCTGCTAAGGCAGTACTCGTGTTCTGAGGACATTGGAATACCCACAGCTTATCTGGCCTTGGGGATAGATGTACACCACTGCCTCAGAGCATTCTGACATGTCCTTTAGACCACTGTTAGTTTGCCAATTATGATAGCTATTTAAATGAAAATGGGAAGATAAATTCTGCTTGCTTGAAACCCTGGTGGACTAGTGTGCCAACATTTGTTTCAGAAAACGAGTGCTCTATATTGTGTGAGGAGCTCCCTTGTCTAATTTCACATAAATTTTAATTCATTTTCTTGTCTTGGTTGAATTTCAGGCCATCAGTCTTTTTGTCATAGTTCAAAAAAAAATCAGGCCTTTAATACTAAGTGTAAAATTATTGATATAAATATTACACTAATATTATACCTTTTCAGAAGCATATTAAATTTTAAGAAAATGATGCTTAAAAGCCATAATGATGCAACATAGGAAAATGAAAAGATTGGAATTTCTGTTTTTTGTATTTTAGTTTCCTTAAAGCAAAACATCTTATATGCTGTGTTTTAATTTTCGTTACTTTAAATTCTACTTTTAGCATTTCAGCTCTGACTTCTATATTAATTCTAAATAACTTTTTTCAGAGAAAAGCATTAACCACAAAATAGACACTTGAAAGAAGGCAGAAGTGCCAAGGTCATCCAGTTCACTTGACATCCGCTGCTTCTTACCTTGCACCAAGATGCCAGACTGTGTGCAGTGAGGGCTTCTGTAGATGACCCATCATCAAGAATCTGGGGACCAGAACTCTGAAAGCAGACATTGAAATGTCTTTAACATAGTTGCAACTTTCTGCACAGCAATCTTTATATAATGTAGTAGAATTCTACAGTGCTAACTTAATGTATAACTCTTTTCAATCAGTAGCCCATTGTGGAACCTAATCCAGTGAAATAGAAGCAACCTGGAAAACATTATCATTCCTACCAGGCTTGATTTCCATCCAAATGCATCTTCCTCAGAATTACATGTCAACAACAAGAAGATTAAAGCAGGAAGTGAATCATAAGACACCATGCTCTGGTAATAGTTTAGGAGAACAGTGTGTGTAGGGGGGGAGGGGATGACACATATTTCAAATTCCTGGCTATCTCCAGATAGATGAGGGTAAAGTGCTGTAGTATGTGGGGGGGGGGCGCAAAACTGCCTCTTCCGCATATTCAGCGAGTCACATTCTGGGCCTTACCTGATGGGGCAAGTCCTTCTGTGTATATATTTCTGTTATTGGTTAATGAATAAAACACTGATTGGCCAGGCAAGAAGTGATATAGCTGGGGAGAATCAGAATATAAGCAGGGACAAACAGGGTCTTCTCTGCGAAGACCCTGATCAGGTGTAGGATGCCAGAGGAGTAACAGGTTCCTGGACTTAACTCCCGTAAGGCCACGAGGAAATAACTAGATTAGTAGTTATGGGTTAATAACTAAGTCAGAGCTAGCCTATAAGAAACCTTAGCCAATGGCCAATGGCTTTATAACTAATATAGCATCTACCTGTTTCTTTGGGCAGAGAAGGGCAGCAGGACCCTGCCAGGACTAGAGACACTTACTTACTTCATATAGAAAGATCCAACACCTGAGGATCCTAACACTCAACATCCACATAACTATAGAGTAAAACAGAAATTAGATTGATACATAGATACATTGTTACTTGATTGGTGGCAAAGAAAGAAAATTGTATGTGCATACTAATATACTGGCACACAAATAAAATATAAGTGTGTGCCTAGATATTAGTTTTCCTGTTACAGAATGGTAAACTGTAAAATATTCTGGCATTTGTCTTTTTAAAGACAAAGTAAATAAACTAAAGACCCTAAACTCCCTCGTAATCTTAGTGTGCATTTTGAATGCAACCTTCCCAAATAAGCTTAAATCCACATCCTTATATGTCTTAATATCTGTATTTATATGTAAATGCATGTATTAAAATAACTAGGTTGTTAGAACAAATTACATATATTTTAACTATGGAAAGCAAAATCCTATTCTGTTTAACTCTTCTTATTAGCACTTATAAAATTGCGTATGCAGTCACAGTTAGGAGATCTGCAATATTTTCAGGAAACTCTGTATAGTTTGGAATGCAAATCATAAGCATCTGTGATCTTGCCACCCCGAGACTGTTTCCCAAAGGAACCGCAGCTCCTCTCAACTAACCACTCATGATTACTACAAGAGTTTCCAAATCCTCACATGATCCCAACACTCTGGCCACAGTTTATTCATTTAGGGATGAGAGACAGCCACAGGTTGAATCTATTAGTCTATCCCAGGATTTTAGAACTTTAAACTCATAGCCAAAGTCAAGTGGGCTTTTTACTGCCATTTGAAATAAAAGTCAGGTTGCAATGAAGGAGAATAAATCCAACATGTGTCACAAGGAAAAGGTTAGAAGCTCATTCTTGGCTCCTGCTCTCCTATCCTCCACTGTGTCCCTCCCTACACCTTCTACAGCTTAGTTCATTTAACCCTTCCTTGATTCCATCAGCAAATAAGCTTTGCTTTTACACAATTATGAACAAGGCACTTTTCTGTCCTGGAGGGAAAGAATAACGCCAGTTTTCACTTGAAAACAATTGTCCCAGGGTTTTGTCACTTTTTCTTTTGAATTCAAGCCTCAGTGGCCATTCATCTAGGAATTCTCCCAAACTGCAGAACAGTGAGTTAAACTGATCTCTCCATGCACCAAATTTGTACTCTCACCAAATTCCTATTGCTACCAGGTATTGTAACTGCCTAGATTCATTAAGACATGGAGCATATAGGTACCCAACACTGTTTCTCTAACACATAGTTTGCACCCACACAGAAGACAACAAACTGCTGACTGTAAGAAACAACTTGGAAAGAATAATGGGCATTTGGACTCATGTTTATTTGTTTCAAAACATGATCAAAAATTGAGTATTTCTACATAACTTACTAGTGTATGTAAATATATATATACACATATGCGTATGTGTTCATGCATTTTTATAGAATTTTGCCACTATGCATGTGTGGATATCAGAGGACAACTTTGAAGAGTCAGAGCTCTTGTACCACATGATCCAAGGAGAGATTTGCCTGGAAATGCCTTTGTGAGCTAACTAAAGAGCCCTAATACATAATATATACATATGTAACCATTGTGTACACAAATATATTCAAATTTAGACTTCTACAAATACTATCATTTCAATAAAAATACTATTGAACATGACGGCAACAGAACTTAATAGTAAAAATGGTCTTGACTTCCACTCTTTAAATCCTCAAAGTCAATGAAGAATATCAGGATGGTAAGAACTCAATTTCTCCCACTGAAAAGCAAAACAGTGTCTATCTTTAATGTTTTAGTCTCCAAGATAAACAACAGTTTTTTAATAAATTCAACACAGTACATTCTCCCCACATGAGACTAAATATTATTATTAATACCCAGAAGGAATGGCTCCTCCCAGTGAATGGTTTGTCTTGATCAAGAGCCAAGGCTTCAAACACTCACCTCAAATGTTTCACATTCAGAAACTTTGGGGGAAATGAATGTGGTCTTTTGTTTGTTTGTTTGTTTTGGTATCCTGCTGGCATGTTTTGTGTGCACACATATGTGTGTGCATGCGTATATGTGTGTGTGTGTGTGTGAGAGAGAGAGAGACAGAGAGAGAGACAGAGAGACAGAGAGATGCTTCATAAGATATCATTAAAATAAGTATTGTAAGACAATGTTCCCCAGTTGCAGGATCTTATAAAATGCCTAAGATTGTGATGAAGAATATACACATATTTATAAACAAAGGAATTTGATTTTACCCCTCTTTGGTCTGTTATTAATTACTCACAAAATGTAGTTGGACACTGAAGTCTGGTGATGAATAATAGTCAGTGTTGATGCTTCAAATGCAACATATTGCATTAGAGAAACAACCATGTTGGTTAAGTACAGACTACCAATATTTATTCACACTAACCTAAACAGTAAGCCTCTCACTTCAGTGGCCCTGAAACAAGGTTTATATATACATTACTTGTCTCTTGCCAATTTCCATGGGGACACTATAAAAATGTTAATTCAGTCTGTAAATCACATGAATATATTTAGAAAATTGAATTGTGCATGTCACTGTAACGTGGGCCTGTGTGGCCAATTTGTACAGGATGGATTTAAAATCTAATGCTAAAGCAATGGTAAAGAGGGCATTTCTTTATATTTAACTTTCCTTTTTAAAAAGGTGTATTATACTGTTTTTTCAGGGCACTCTTAGACAAATGGCAGAGAGTACATAGAACAAGACTAGTTCTTGGCAAAAGTCCATGCTTCCATCAACATCAGATGAGTAGGAATTTCTGAACCCTTACTGCTTTTGAGACATGGCTGAAACCTTTGCTACCTTCTCTCCACTTGTACCTCATTCCAGGCCTGGAGCCATCTGACTCCATTTCACTGAGCATCTATCTCTGTCTAGGATAGCCAAGGGTATGAAGTCCAAGACTCCTAGGTCACTGTCACCTTTAATTTTGTGGGTTCTAATCCATGTATGCTTCTGATTCCTTGTCTGAGTCATCTCCCAGGTTGCCCTACCTACTGAGAAATTCTCATGATATGCTTTCAAGCACTCAAGACACATTGTCTGAAAAAAAATATCAACTTTAAATTCTCTAGAACATCCTTTCCTTTCTGAGGAAATAACGCTTCCCCACAGGATATTATTTATCTACCACTTTTAAAGATGTTTCTTGTTCCACTAATGCCATCTGTGTAGCTGGACAAGTGGATTCGAAGGATCATATGACCACCTCGGGTTTGTGAGCAGGAGCTGCCACAGCAAACACAGACACATCCGCACATTACTCTGAGACCTGGGTATTTTTTTTTCATTGTCTTGCATTTCCTTGCTCTTCTCTCATGTCAGATGCAAAGAATATGCCTATTAATGTCCTGAGCCCTGAGTTATTTGACCTCTTCCTCTTAGTTCTTCACCCTGTCTTAGCCAATAAGTGGAGGGCAGGGGAGGAGGGGAGGGAGAGGGAACTGGGATTGACATGTAAAACAAGCTTGATTCTAATTTAAATAAAGGAAAAAGAAGAAAGTAATAAAAATAGTTAAAGAGGGAAATAAAATTGAGAATGTGTGCAGGAGATGGTTATGATTGATCTAATTAATATGTGAAAAGCTTTCCTGTGTGGATGAAAGGAGTGGTAAAGGAATGTTAAAATTGAAGTATGGCAGGTAAACACTGAGAAGATTGTGTTACTTTGCTATTCAAGTACTTCCCATGTTTCTAAGACATTCAGGGTGGCTGGATTTATGTTGAGGTCTTTGATCCATTTGGACTTAACTTTTGGGCATGACGATAGACATGGATCTATCTGCAGTCTTCTACATGCCAGCATCCAGTTATGGCAGCACCATTTGTTGAAGATGTTTTCTGTTTTCTATTGTATAATTTTAGCTTATTTGTCAAAAATCAGATGTTCGTAGGTGTGTGGGTTAATATCAGAGTTTTCAATTCAATTCCAAACTTATGGGACACTTTGAAAGCAGTAGTAAGAGGAAAATTCATAACACTAAGTGTTCACATGAAGAAGCTGGAGAATAGTCACACTACAGAATTAACAGCACAACTGAAAGCTCTAAAACAGAAAGAAGCAAACTCACCCAGGAGGAGTAGACACCTGGAAGTAGTCAAACTGAGGGCTGAAATCAATAAAGCAGAAACAAAGAATACAAAGAATCAATGTAACAAAGAGCTGGTTCTTCCAGAAAAATCAACAAGATAGACAAACATTTTTCCAAACTAACCAAAAGGCAGAGAGAGAACATGAAAATTAACAAAATCAGAGATGAAAGGGGTTACTTAACAACAGACACTGAGGAAATCCAGAGAGTCTTCTGGCCACACTTTAAAAACATGTACTCCACAAAATTTGAAAATTTAAAGGAAATGAACAATTTTCTGTATAGCTATCACTTACCAAAATTAAACCAAGAATGGATAAGCAATTTAAACAGACCTATAACCCCTAATAAAATAGAAGCAGTCCGCAAAATTCTCCCAATCAAAAAAAAAAAAAAAAAAAAAAAAAAGCCCAGGGCCAAATGGTTTCAGTGTAGAATTCTACCAGAAATTCAAAGAAGAGCTTATATATTAATGTTCCTCAAAATGTTCCACACAATAGAAGCAGAAGGTTCATTGCCAAACTCTTTTTACAAGGCTACAATTACCTTGGTACTCAAGTCACACAAAGTCACAACTAAGAAAGAGAACTGCAGACCAATATCGCTCATGAACATTGATGCAAAAATACTCAATAAAATACTGGCAAATACAATCCAAGGACATATCAGAAAAATCATCCACTATGACCAAGTAGGCTTCTTCCCAGGGATGCAGGGATGGTTCAGCATATGAAAATCTACCAATGTAATCCACCATATAAACAAACTGCAAAAGAAAAACCTCATGATCATCTCATTAGATGTTGAAAAAGCCTTTGACAAAAATTCTACACCCCTTCATAATAAGGGTCCTGGAGAGATCAGGGATAACAGGAACATACCTGAACATAATAAAAGCAATATACAGTAAACCAACAGCCAACATTTAAATGGAGTGAAACTCAACATGATTCCTCTAAAACCAGGAACAAGGCAGGGCTGTCCACTCTCTCTATATCTCTTCAATATTTTTATTTTTTAACCCTGTTTAAATCCAACCTTTTACACTACATACTGAACCCATGCTGGTAGACAGTAAAGCAAAATCAAACGACTCCCCCTAACAAATAATTAAGTTAAATCAGAGTGCAGAAGCTGTGGAAAAGTGTGCTCTTTTAATATGGTTATTCACCTTTGGTACTTTCAGAAAATGGCAGGACAAGTGTTCCTAGCTCATTCTGTACCTTGCCTGTTATATAAATTTACAGTTTCTGCCTCCATGAAACCTACATTTATTTATTCTGACATTTACTGAATAATCTTGTGTACAAACTCGGGTTCTTTGGAGGAGTGTTCTGTGAAAGTGGGGGTGGCTCAAAGTTATAGTATATCAAAATATTGGTTCTGTTGTAATCTTATGGTACCAGAGTGACATACACAGCCTTCACTAATGAAATTGTCATAATGCAGTGCACTACAATAAATGTATTTGCTTAGTTGGTCTGCTTATTCTTTCTTAACTACAATAAAGGCTGTAGAAAATCATGTAGTTTGGGATCTAATTGGCTATATTACTCCTATTATCTCTAAACAGAGTGTAGACATTCAATAGATACTTGACAAATATCTATCGAGTGAATAACCAATATTAGGACAGCCCCTGGCCTTTGTTTGAAGCAGCAGCCACTAAAATGCAAAAGAACATTTTAGCGCATTCAATTTCCCACATATAAATGTATGCCTCAAATAGTTGAAGAAGCACATATATTCTCTCTACCTACAGGTTTAAGTTTTTCAAATATTTATGAATCAAAAATGCATTGGTTGTTATAAATCAGAATTTTCTTTTTCTTTCTCATAGGCACTGATTCAGTAAGTTTGTAAAAGCTGCAACTCAGTTTTCTCTTTTAACAGAGGCTTTAAGAAACTACCATGGATTTGGAGTGATTCAAACTTAGTGGCTTCTATAAATACATCATGGGGGAGGAGGGAGGGAATTCTCCACTATAGCTACCATGCTGAGCTAAAGTAAATGACTTTAGTCTTAATTGAAGGTATACATTCATTTCAACAAGGGTTTAAAGTACAGCAGCAATTTGCAATAAGTCACTTCAAAAATTTAGGTTGTATTTATCCTCCAATAATATGGAGACTTGGCCTTTCAAAGTGAGATCTATATTTATAGCCAAATATAGATCTAGTTGCATAGAAAACCAACTGTTTCTTTAAACTATTTATTTATGAGCACACAAGAATAGCTCATTCTAGTGAGAGGTATAGCATTTCATTTCTGCAGGATAATATTCTCCTCCAGGATCAGTCAAGAATTGAGCTTATGATCCTCTTCCGCATAATTGTGACACATGCCTCTTCAGAATACTACCTGATCTTCCATAGACGTTTGCCTCTAGCAAAGATATTTTGTTGTGTGATTCATTCTGAGTTAATTACCTAACTCCAATAGATGGCATTGTAATAGATGTTGTCTCATCAGTATGCAGAACTGTTCCCTTGCTTGAAGAGAAAGTAAAGACTTCTTAATTATACCCCACGTTCCCACTCATTAATTGACCTTCTTTCAAGTAACCATAAATCAACTAATGTGGTGTAGATTTCAGACATGTTAACAAATGTCTACGTAACGCAGTATGTCTTTCAGAAGAAATGTACCCATTTTTAATCAGTTCTGTTTATCATCATTATTAGATGATTAGTTCCGACTAATGTTACAAAAATAAAATTGACTATTCTATCTTTTCCTTTATGACTATATTACTTCCTATGACTGTATCTCATAGTCCAAGCTTCTCGGCTTCTCCCATTTGTTTCCTCTTCTTACTCAAGATCATTAAAATGAAATATAAAGAAGACATAAAATAGACTAGGAACTCTCGTGTAGATTGCTGATCCTCTGGCTAAAGTGACTTTGGCAATCCAGAATGATTAGCTTAGGATATATGAAGGCAGAAACAGGTGAAACAAAGAGCATTGGCATCATCTTTCATTCCAACGGTGTCTTTTGGAACTCAATGCCAAAAGGAACTGTTTTAAAGCTAAGTGTCTTACTTAGGGTTTCTATTACTGAGATGAAGCACCATACCCAAAAAGCAAGTTGGGAAAGAAAGGGTTTATTTGGCTTACACTTCCACAGTACTGTTCATTACTGAAGGAAGTCAGAACAAGGAAGTGGGGATAGGGTGGGAAGCTGGGGGAGATGATAGGAGGGGTGCGGGAGGAGGGGAGGGAAAGGGAACTGGGATACATGTGAAGCAAGCTATTTAAAGTTTAAATTAAAAAAAGATCCTCAATAAAAATAAATAAATAAAAACAGAACAGGAACCCTAACAGGGCAAAATCCTAGAGGCAGGAGCTGATGCATGGAGGGACACTGCTTACTGCTTTGCTTCCCATGGCTTGCTCAAGCTGTTTTTTATAGAACCAAGGACCACCAGCACTGGATGGCACAACCCACCATGGGCTGGGCTCGGGTGCATTGATTACTAATTGAGAAAATGCCTTCCAGCTGGATCTCAAGGAGGCATTTCCTCATCTGAGGCTCCTTACTCTGATGAGTGTAGGTTGGTGTTAAGTTGACACACAAGACTAACTAGTACAACTGTCCCCTTGTCAACTGGACACACAAGCATGTCACTATTAAGCCATTACCCTTTATTTTCCTTACTCATCGCCAAGATCTCACATTAAAAACATAAGTAACTTTAAAAGACCCACAGTCTTTACAAATGCAAACACATTAGTTTCAGTTCCTTCAAAACAGCCAATCTCTTTTAAACTCCAAAGTCTTTCAGAATTCAAACTCTCTCAACTATGGGCTCCAGTAAAATACTTCTTATTGCAAGAGAGAAAAATCAGGGCATAGTCAAAGCAAAACCAAATTCCAACCATACAATTGGATCTACTCACCATCTTCTGTACTCCTTCAAAGGCCTGGTTCACTTCCGGCTCTGCCCTCTGCATCACACACAGCTTATTTTCTGTCTCTGGGCTTCTCCACAGGACTTGGGTCACTTCTCCAGCTGTGTCCTTTGCCGCACACGATGTGGTTTGTATTTTAAGTTCAGGTGGACTCACTTTACTCCACTGAAGCTGTTCCTCTTAGTGGTCACCCCGTGGTACTGGCATACCCAAAGTGCTGGGCTCCAATTGGGCTGCATTTTCACCAATAGCCTCTCATAGGCTCCCTTCATGGTTTCAAGCCTCAACTTCCTTGCATGACCCCTTCAGTTCTGGGTCTTCAATTGCCACAGAGGCTGCGCCTTCACCAGTGCCAGGCTTCTCCTGGCCTCTCACAGTGCCAAGCCTCAGCTTCTCTCCATGACCCCTTCATGCATTCCAAACAAGTATCACCTGGGTCATGCTTACACATTGCCAAATCCAGCTGCCAGCATGGGGCAAAATCATGCCTACCTCTGGAACAGCTTCCCTGTGCTCTCAGGAACCACTTTCCAGAAGATTTCACCTAAGAGATTTTGGTTTCTTTTTAATCACTGCTAATTTCTCAGCTCCAGCTAACCAGCATCAATTGCCCCAGTAACATAAATGTCCCACTTTAGTAGTTCTGGTATCTTGTTAATCACAGCTGATTCTTCAGCCCTAGCTAACCAGAACCATAGGCTCTTCATTTAAGATAGCAAATGGTCCCGACAGAACCTTCAATCTTCCCTCTGAAACTTCACAAGGCAGGCCCTCCATCCTCTGCACTGCTCTCAACATTCTTATCTTCCAAGCCCCGACAGAACATCCCGTAGAGCTCAACGATGAATGGCTCTTCTAGCCTAGAGTTCCAAAGTCCTTCCACAACCCTCCCAAAAACATGGTCAGGTCTGTCACAGCAATACCCAACTAGGCTGATACTAACTTGTCTTAGTTAGGGTTTCTTTTTTTTTTTTTTTTTTTTTTTTGGTTTTTACGAGACAGGGTTTCTCTGTAGTGTTTTGGAGGCTATTAGTCCAGCCTGGCCTCAAACTCACAGAGATCCGCCTGCCTCTGCCTCCCGAGTGCTGGGATTAAAGGCGTGCGCCACCACCGCCCGGCTAGTTAGGGTTTCTATTGCTGAGATGAAACACCATGGCCAAAAAGCAAGTTGGGAAGAAAAGGTTTGTTTGACTTACACTTCCACATTGCTGTTCATCAGTGAAGGAAGTCAGAACAGGAACTCAAACATGGAAGGATTCTGCAGGCAGGAATTGATGCAGAGGCCATGGAGGGGTGCTGCTCACAAGCTTGCGTCCCATGGCTAGTTTAGTCTGCTTCCTTATAGAACCCAGAGCCACCAGCCCATGGATGGCACCACCCACCATGGGCTGGACCCTCCCCCGTTGATCATTGAGAAAATGCCTTACAGCAGGATCTCATGAAGGCATTTCCTCAGTTGGGGCTCCTTCCTATCTGATGACTCTAGTTTGTGTTAAGTTGACATACAAGGCTATCCTTGTATGTCCTAAGTGTTTAAGTCCAAAACAGCAATAACCAGAAGCCCATGGTCTATAAAGAATTGTTTTAGCCTCTTAGTTGGAATGAAATTGATCTTATGACAAAAGAAAAAGATTTTCTTTGCCTCTGACTTCTTAACACTCTCGTAACATGTAGAGTGAGGAAGAAAATCACTGAACTCCTGAGGATCTCCTGATGGGGCCCTTGCCCACTGCACCAGCCTAGCCTTGGAAAAAGGAGAAGTGAAGCACTCAGTGATGCTATGAGGAAATAGGAGACCAGTAGAGACCCATTCTACTTCAAACAGTCAACAAATCAAAGCATTACACTAATGCATATTTTTAAATATGTAATTATTCCTTTTAAAGGAGAAAATAATACTGACATCATATAGGAAATTTTTCCATAATTTCAGGTGCATATACTAGAACACCTGGGAATTAAAGCCTGCTAGTGATACATTTTCAAAGAGGTAAACTTAAAAATACTAGAATGAAGCATGAAGAAAATGTGTACCACTGTTAATCTAAGAATTAGGGTGCTCGTTATATTTACTTCCTTCCTTTATATAGGAAATTGTCTCTTAAAAGCATGGAAAAAGAACATGTGCTAAGCCAGCAATATTTGGATCACGATCAGTGCTTCTGTACAAAGGAGGTTACTTCTCATAAGCATTCCTGGATGTACCTTGGCACTCTGCACCACATATTTACTTTGAGAAAATGGTTTATCACTCTGAGTACAGTTTGTGAGGAGTCAAAGGTTTTGTTTCCAAGAAATGCTCTTATTTACTCCTCAATTCTTAGTCATACCAAGTTTTACCTCCTCTGAGATAGTGGAAGATCAATTGTCTACCAGAAATAGCTAAATACTGTACTTTGCATCTTCACACATTTTCATTTTGTGACATCTCTAGATCATTGAAAAAATATCTAATTTATTCAACTCACTTATCCAAGCTCTTGAACTCAAATGTGAATGAAAGTAAAAACATTATAGAAAATTTGCTTAAAATATACTGAATGTTTAGAGACTTACAATAAATGGCCATACTTCGTTTTGAATGGTTTTGTTTTATTTGTGTGTGTGTGTTTGTGCATGAGATGAAAAAGGCTCTCACATTATAAGGATTATTTTGTACTGTTTTTAAAATGCATATATTACATATTTATAATTGTAAACATAAGCATTGCTCCTGTTTATTACTTTTGACCCAAATGCTTCTGGCTTAGCTCGAGTTCTTTTTCTATGCTTTCAAGAGGTAGTGTTTTTATATAAAGGAAGCAATTGAATATAATGACCCCCTATTGTACTTATTAACAATGGTAGGCATTTTATCATGTTTTGCTCCAATATTTCCATAAAGTTCACTCTCATAAGGAAATATAGTCACAGTATCTCCTCAATATAATTTAGAGTGAAAACTATATCTTTCTTAACAGTAGTTTTACTATCACATTACACATTAAAAGACAACAGCAGATACCTTATAGAAAAGTCCTAATCAGGAAGAGGACCAAACATTGTAAAAGCCAGAGAATTATTATGTGCCTCCTACTAGAAAATATCCCCTAGGCGTGGCAGGAAAATGCACCCATAAACTCCCTTCAATATGGTTGTGTATAAGGTAGGCATAATAATGACAATAGGAGATATTCCAACGTTGAAAGGGGATATTCCACCAGATTCCATCTCTAGATGAATATCTAGCAGTCAGTGACTGCTGAGAGAAGGAGTCACTGTTCTCAATAGACAAGTTCCTGTATAGGCTGTCCAATCCCAAGTGGTCTGTCCTGAATACAAGCACATATATGTTAACAATGATAATTAAGAAGCCATGAATTAGGCAAAGAGATTATACAGAGAAGTTGGAGGTGGAAAGATGGAAAACAGTAGATGTAGAACTGTATGGTGTTTTCAAAAAAGATTAGATACCATATGCTACCAAATAAAACTTATAGTACCATGAATGTGTTACCCTCTTTTTAAGTCATTGGCCTATGGCATCCCATAAAGCCCTGAAGCATTACAGGGTGTTACAAAATAAATGCTGTTGGGTATCCTCCAGAACTTTATAGTGAGAGTATTGCTGAAGACATCATATTCTTGAAACATAGAACATAAAGAAATCTATCAAGTAGTCAACTAGAAGCTTTGTCCATACTGGTTAGCATCCACACCTCTGAATGGTGATATACATACTATCCAAGAAGAAAATTTATCATTAACCTCACTCAGTTTTGAACCCTAAGAGCTACCAGAATGATGAATGTCAAGATGTGTTCATTAGTGCAATAGTAACATCAATGTCATGGGTATAGCCAGTCATTTTTAATTGAAAGTAAGGTCTGCTACATGAGATAGAATTTTTACCTGACATTGTCAATGAGTCCACAAACCTGTGTCTAGTTAAGTCAGGAGCCTACTACTATTATTCTGTTAAATGGACATGACAATAAACAATTCTTAATAAATCTGTTATACCTATAGATCAGTACATCTGTCAACCATCATAAGATAAGCTGCTTCTTGTAGTACCTGCCAAGTAGCACTGAGATCCACAACCTGTCAACATGCGTATAATAATACACATCAGATGCATTCAGATTGGAACTCTCTTCAAAGATACATAGGGTAGAAAAAGTGGTTCAACCATGCATACATTTAGAGTTTTGGGTAGGACCAGCGACAGTGTGTATGATTAAGATGAGACACCATTAAAGTCTCTGAGATGTTTCACAAAGACATAAACCAGTTGCCTGCAGTAAATTGATTAGATTAGATATTTTCCTGCATTGGTTAAGCACATTAAAGATAGACCTAGAGGCACCAAAATGTGCCAGTGTCACATTAAGGAAAGAAAACAAAGCACTTCACTTTCGATTAATGTTTACCAAGAACAAACCCTACTTTGAATTTTCTATTGCTCTCCATGTGTCATCTTCGATCTATCTAAACTTTGTAGTTTCTGGCCTACCAATAATCTGCATCCAATAATCTGCATGTCTACCTGTGCCGGCCTGATGTCTGACTGTCCCTCTTGCTATATGCCTAGCAAAGGGCTTTGTTCTATATTTGTTAAACAGCATAGAAAGCAGCACATGAAGAAAATTGAGGGACTCTGTAAAGAAATCATTCAGTCTTACAAAGGATTAAGTTATTTACTCCAGCTAGCCCAAAGCACTTAGTAATGCAAACATACTTTTCACCAAGCAATGCCCTAATGCTGCTTCCAACATTTACGATGATGTTTTTGTGTAAGGCTGCCTTCAATCCGTTTGTTGTTTATAAAAAATGCTTATCATAGCAAACATCTATTGTGCTCTGAGTCAGATCCTACTACGGTAGAACCCATATTTTAAATTTTTAGCCATGAATCATGTTAGCTTATAAAAGATGAGTGCATAGGAAGTATAAGGCAAATAAGACTATTACATTGCTCTCTTTAAAGTACTTTAAACAAACAGGCTAAGTACAGAGTAGGATATCAGTCTCAGTCTTAAGTATTCTTAAACAGTATCACTAACTTGGCTGTGAGGTCCATCCAACCAAAGTCCCAGTCTCTTTTATGTGAGAGATATTTTCATAAAACTGTATCACAACATTTTTATTAAATATCAGCAGTGATATAAACTAAATATTTCATAGACTCCCCCCCAAAATGTCCTTACAATTGTAAACTAGAACCTTCCTTTAGAGAAAAGGAAAACTGCTGCTATCATGATTGGAAAAGCTTCCAATGCTCTAATCACCTTGTTTTCTGAGGAGAAAAAAAAAAGCACGGACTGTGGAATTGAATGCTGAAGATGTTAGCCTTGGAGAAATAGCTTTCGGGAAAATTGAAAAAAGAAACAGATTGGAATGTTTCTTTCTTAGAGGATTACAATTTTGTAAGATAATATGTTAGAATAAAGTATTTTGTCATTATAATAGGAAAGTATAGTGCAAAATTAGATTGTGGTAAGATTCAACTATAAAATGATACAAAAGAAAAACTTAATTCCTTTTTAAAATCCCTATACATTCTGCAACTTGAGAACAATGCACAAAAGCATATAAGTTTAAAAGTGTAGTGCATATAAAGCCTTTTAATACTTTCAGATAATTTATAGGTGAATTATCACAAATATCTTCTCATTGATTACATTCTGGGAACCTGTACACATATGTGTACATATGCGCTAACAAACAGTTAACATGTAGTATCTGGCATATTATCAACAGAGGTGACAAAAGTTACAGAAAATAAAATTCTTAAGAGTGGCAAACTGGTGCTGGGGGTTGGTGGCTCACGCCTTTAATCCCAGCACTCAGAAGGCAGAGGCAGTAAGATCTCTGTTAGCTCAAGGCCAGACTGGTCTACAGAGCGAGTTACAGGACAGCCTCCAAA